GCCTACGAATCAAGGAACATCAAAGACTCTGCAGGAACATGGATACACAATGATCAGAAATAGAGGAACACATTGCACGGACGGGGCATGAAATCGACCGGAAATCGGCTGATAGGTTGGATGGATATCGTGAAAATACGGTAAAACGCAAGATCCGAGAGGCCATCGATATACTGATCGAGTGAAATCTAATGAATAGAAGACTTAAAGAAGGCAGGATCAGCGAAAAATTTGCATATTGCCTAAACAAACTCGGTGAAGACCAGGCAACAGGAAGATCAGCAAAAAAGAAGATGACTGGAACAATGTAATATCCTTAATTTTAGGAAAAGACATCGAAAGGGGATGAGAAAGGAAGAATTAGAAGCAAAGAGGAGACGTCTTCAGTGAGCCTTATCAAAACAAGTAGAACCACGACATTTGTGGGTTAGTACACAAAAGACTAGAACATAGGAAGTGATAGTCATGGTATTACAGATAGAAACAGGAAAGACACGATGGAGACTAAAGCTGTTTGACTAACAATATATGTGCTTGATCTTAAACGTGATCCTTGAATCACGACTAATTTTAGCCAACCAGCTCTAGCTTTCACTGTTTCTAGCCTCTTTCTATCTATAATACCAAGTCTATGACTTACTATGCCCTAGTCTCTTGTGTGCCAACCCACAAAAGTTGTGGTGAAAGATTGAACCAAATCAAAACAAGCTGTACCACAACATTTATGGGTTTTCCGACAATAGACTAGGGCATGGCAAACCATAGCCTTGGTATTAGGGATAGAAACAGGACAGAGACGGCGGGGACCGGAGCTAGTGGGCTGACGGTAGGTCTGTTGTACCAGAGACGTGGCACATGTAGCAAAGGGGCGATCATGACACTCAGAGGCTTGCGCCTCGAATTAGTCACTTCGAGGCAGGGGAGGGCGAATAACGCCTCGAGTAGGACAGATGTGGTGGCAGGAGTCGAGTGAAATGGGTGAACAAGGGGTTGAGCAGACGGATTTTACGGAGCACAAGGGAGACTGGAATAATACTAGGAAAGAGGACTGCATAATAATAAAGCAGACTCTGATCAACATTCCCTGCACAAGGATGAAAGGGGGGGATAAGAACGACAGTTAAAGTGTGAAGGTTTCATCTCGATCAAAGGAGCACACCACACTATATCTAACAAAACACGGTAAAAATTGTGATAATGAAGACCTGATAGGATGACACCAGAAACGCGAATAATCCAGGGCAGAAGGGGAGATACCACAATTGTTTAGCACACGTTTGATCAAAGGATCGGCTCCACTTGTCTCTTTGACGAGTTGTTGTATGGTGCTAAGAATGACGATATTCATTGACGATGCCGACTACGATGCCGGCGAAACGTTTGGTAATGTACCACGTCCACGATCCGACTCTGGATATGATCATGCATGCAATGGACTCCGGACTAGGTGCGTTCCTCTAAGTCTTCCTACCAATATGACCATGTTGCGAAAACAAGG